GTGCTGCATACCTCCGGAGATATGATGATATCTCAAATGATGGTTATTACCCGGGCGTAATGTTAATATAAATAAAATATTTATTCAGAAATCGTGAGATGCGGTCTGGTGTGATGTAGGTTTCAGAAAAACATTTTCTTTATCGTGCCAAAACACAAAATAGCAAAATCTCACTGGCACTCTCGACATGACACGCAAGAATGGCACAATTACACGAAAGACAAACACTTTGAGTGAGTAGAAATACCTCGATTGAATACATAAAAAAATATATTTTGCATTGTAAAAATTCACTTTTCCGCATCCAAAATGTAATTGTTATATGTAAACAATGTTTGTAAATCCCAGGCCCTGAAGATGATCTCAATAAAGATCGAAACGTTGGCACGATAAAGAAAATGTTTTTCTGAAACCTACATCACTCGGTCACTAATCACCACACATAAATAAAATATTTAAATGAAACGAAATAAGATTGAGCAATTAAAAGGAGCATGAAACCAGTAACACCGATTAGAGCATTAAATTTAGAAAATACGTTTTTTAACGTATATACATTTCTCATGGATATAGCACGCATTCCGTGATTTATCCTGTTTGATTTTTCAAGGGTCCTATCAAGAATGACATTCAGTCTTTATCAGATGGGGCGCAATATTGTCTCAAATTTGAATAATTATGATAGATCGTATTCATCTGTCGTTTCGAACAAAGCCGGTAAAATATTTCTCATAGGTACAATTGTTTCATTATTTAGATCATGAATTTAAACTCGATACAATTGTTAGCAAATAAAGCCAGGAAGTGGCACTTCGACATGTTTAATTTATTAATATTGATTATGTAAATGAAAAAGCGAATAAATTAATATTATTTACAGATCGAATGTAATGTTTGCTTTTCGAATTTGGTGTCGAATCATAATTACCATTGAATAATAACTCTAATTAAAATATATTTTATTAAACACGATTTTTATATTTCAAAAATAAATCTATTTTTTCAATTACGAACCTCATACAAAAGAAAAGAATTATGAAATCTTAAAAAAAATCCTTACAACCATCAATTCGTTTTTTGCACCAACTAAACTTTCCATCTGTTTTTGCCTGTAAAACCTGAAGGAACGAGTACTGGAATATCGGGGCTCAGGTTGAGCAAAAGCTGATGGAAGAAAAATAAACGGTGAGTGGCCAAGGACTAAAAGGCTTTTTGTAGGACGCCTTATTTTACTTGACTTTCTCCTTTTTCCAGGATAGCCCGCAAGCTTTTTCCTTAAGTTAAAAAACCCAAGTTATAGCTATATAATTTATTTACGTATTTTTAAATTTTGGAGTTTAAACTGTAATTTTTTATTAGAATGATTAATCACAACGGTTTAAAGTCCTTTAATACAGGCCAGTAAAATTGAACGCTAGAAGTCGGTATAATAATTTTAATATGCTCATTCATTAAAAATTAGTAAAATTAGCAGGGTCTCCTAAGGTATGCAACACATTTGGTAGTTTAAAAACACGATATTTTCTCATTTATTTACAGTTTTTCGTCTGTAACGCTTAAACGACATATTTTAGCGAAAACATTTAACAATTAAAATTTATCAATAAACATACTTTACATGTTTATATTTCATACCATATCTGGTTTATTTAAGATTAAAGTAGGATTAATTAGAATAATTTTAAATTCAAAAGTGTCCATTTCAATTAAAAGCGTTAATTTGACATTAAAAAAAATATTTAAAAATTAAAAAGGTTAATTAAACGGGAAAAGTTACATTTTAAGTTAAAGGATTAATTTGAAATCTAAATAAAGTTTAATTTGAAGTTATAAAGGGTTAATTTGAAATCTAAAAAAGGTAATTTGAAGTTAAAAATAGTGAATATGATTTAAAAAAGGCAATTTGAAGTTAAACCTGTTAATTTGACATTTTAGAAAGTTAATTAGAAATTAAAAAGGTTAATTAAACGGTAAAAGCTAAATTTTAAGTTAAAAGATTACTTTCAAATCTAAAAAAAGTTTAATTTAAAGTTATAAAGGGTTAATTTGAAATCTGAAAAAGGTAATTTGAAGTTAAAAATAGTGAATATGAAATTTAAAAAGTTAATTTGAAACTGTTAATTTGAAATTTTAAAAAGTTAATTAGAAATTAAAAAGGTTAATTAAACAGGAAAAGCTCAATTTTAATTTAAAAGATTAATTTGAAATCTAAAAAAGTTTAATTGTTTAATTTGAAGTTTTCAAGTGTTAATTTGACAACTAGAAAAGGTAAATTGAAGTTAAAAATAGTGAATATGAAATTTACAAAGTTAATTTGAAGTTAAAAACTGTTAATTTGAAATTTAAAAACGTTTGCGTTTTACAATACTTCGCCTATAACTCGTAAACAACTTACCTTAGCAAAAAAATAATTAGTATCAAAATGAAAGAGCATTAAAATTTGCGTCAAATGGGTCCCTCAATTATGAAATATAAGCCAATAATGTACGCTAATGGACGAATGAAAATTTGAAGTTTTGAAGGGTTAATTTGAAAACTAGAAAAGGTATTTGAAGTTAAAAATAGTGTATATGAAATTTAAAAAGTTAATTTGAATTTAAAAACTGTTAATTTGAAATTTTAAAAAGTTTGCGTTTTTCAATACTTCGCTTTTAATTCGTAAACAACTTACCTTAGCAAAAAAAATAATTAGTATCAAAATGAAAGAGCATTAACATTTGCGTCAAATGGGTCCCTCAATTATGAAATATAAGCCAATAATGTACGCTAATGGACGAATGGAAAACCTCAATGTTTACCAACTACCACTGTCCAAAATTGGCCTATTCAACAAAAAATATCTATAGAATAGTTTAAATTAACAATTATTGCAGAGTATTTAACTCTCCGTTTATTGCGTCTCTAAACTTTTAAAATTTGTCAATTGTAAGAGTACAAAATCCAAAATTATCATTACGATGGATTTTCTCTGAATTTGTTTTGCATTTTATTTAGTATTATGATAAATCAAGTTAAAATGCATTTAACTTTTACTAGTCGTTTAAAAATTAAAATTTAGCAATAAACTTAGTTTACATGCTAATATTTCGTATCATATCCTGTTTATTTAATATTCAAGGAGGGTTATTAGACGAATTTTAACTTCACTAGTTTCGTGGTCCGCTTGACCAATTGATATCTTTCAATTAATTAAAATGGCAAAAAGGAGGGAAAATTCAAAAGGTGGGGTGAGATGGGAAGTTAGTGTCCGAGCGGATCGAAGTCAAGATAGCTCAAGTGGTAGAGCAGCGGCGTATCTATCCGAAGGTTGTGGGTTCGAATCCCGCTCGTGACATTGACTTTTTTATCGCAACGAAAAACCTTAATTAATTGCAAGATACTAATTTTAAATTTAATAAAGTTCATTTCAAGTTAAAAAGAGTTAATTTAAAAGTTAATTAGAAATTAAAAGGGTTAATTAAACGGAAAAAGCTAAATATTAACTTAAATGGGTTAATTTGAAATCTAAAAAAGGCAATTTCAATTAAAAGAGTAAATATGAAATTAAAAATGTTAATTTGAAGGCAAAAAGCGAGAATATGGAATTTAAAAAGTTAATTTGAAGTTACAAAGGGTTAATTTGAAGTTTACTTTTTACAATATTTCGCCTATAACTCATAAACAACTTATCTTAACACAAAAATAACTAGTATCAAAATGAAAGAGCATTAAAATTTCGGGTCGAATGGGTACCTCGACTATGAAATTTAAGCCTTACAGTAATGCAAGCGTAATGGGCGGTTGAAAAAGTCAATGTTTACAGACTTGGAAGAAATTTTCAGCAGTTGACTTTTCATACGTCGCGAACTCTGAAATGGCTCGTTCAAACAAAAACATCAATAAAATTTATAGTTTGATAGTTACGCATCATCTTGGTCTGTCAATATTAGTCAGACCCATTTCTGCATTTTGCCGTCTTCAGTGTTTGGGTGATTTCTGTTGAGTCCCATCGTCTGAAGATGGCGAAATGCCGAAACGCGTCTGTCTGACAAAAATCAGCGAGTATAGCCGGACCAAGTTGATAGGTAACTAACAATCTATAGACCATCATCCCGCAGACCACAGGAGGAAATCTCAAAATCTATAGAATTGTTTGAATGAAAATAGTTTAATTTTGCGTGTTGTTTGGCATTTAATTCTGTCATTGTGCCATTAAACTTTTTAAATTTTGTCAATTTTAAGATTATATACGAGGAAAAATTTACATTGCATGGGATTTTTATGGGTCGTTCGTTCTGCATGTTTATGATGTTTATGATTTTGTTCAGCATGATGATAAATCAAATTCAAATGCATTTAAAATGTATTAGTCGTTTAACAATCAAAATTAACAATAAAATAAATTCTACCGTTAATTCTCTATTTTTGGTGGTCCGCTTGACCAATTAATATTTTTCAATTAATTAAGGTTTTTAGTTGGGATAAAAAAGTCAGTGTCACGAGCGGGATTCGAAGCCGCGATCTTCGGCTAGATACGCCGCTGCTCTACCACTTGAGCTATCGTGACCTCGATCCACTCGGGCACTAACTTCCCATTTCAACCCCACCTTTTGAATTTTCCCTCCTTTTTGCCATTTTTCAAATGACGTGTAATCTCTTTGATTCTCGGCGACAAATGAAATGGCCAATTTTAACTTATTAAATTCACTAGTTTTCGAGGTCGGCTTGACCAATTAATTAAGGTTTTTAGTTCAGATAAAAATCTATCGTTAATTATTTGAAAAATACAAGCTTGGGGGAAAATTGGGAAATAATTGAGAGGACTCATATATAATAAACATTGTAGATATAAACTGAATAGAAATTAAGTTTAAATTATTATTATGCTAAATCATAATTGATTTTTGATTCTTCCTGTCCTGAAAAACCAGATAATTCTACGATACGATTGAAGTTGACTTATTAAAACCAAACACGATCAAATTTCCAAAAAGGATTTTCTAAACTGTTTTTTCTTTCAGATAACAACACGCTGGAAAGAGAACTCGACGAAATATCTAACACAATTGACGCAGTTTTAAAAGAGGTAAAAGCCAGGTTGAAATATCGCTCTGTTGATTAAGAAACAAGTTTAGTGTTGATTCAAATGGAAAAAAGAGAAGACATGTTATTAGAGCCGTCTTGATCAAAAGATACCGTTTATAAGAAACAGGAATTTGAATAATACAATATAAAGCAGGGATCTCATTGTAATTCTCTTCGAGTAACAACCGGTTGTTTTTCGTTAAAGGAAAATTCCGAATTCAGCCCTCTTCAAGAAGGTTACACCATCGAGCCAATTTACTTCCACGCCAATGAGTGTACAGTGTAAGTGAAATTTCTTTACTATTGTCTTATTTGTAAAAAAATTTGTGAACTATAGAAATTAAGTATAAAAAAATCTTTAATTATAATACTTTTAGGCGTGTTTATAGAACCGAAATAATTGAGAAAGTTTGAAATAGCTTTATTTAAGCATTATAGCATCTAAACTTCGGTCTAATGTCGAAAATGCAGTGGAAATGCGACCATTTTTCATTGAGGTCATACCTCAAGATATTATTTTCTTAATTAAGGTTTTTAGTTGAGATAAAAAGTCAGTGTCACGAGCGGGATTCGAACCCACGACCCACCCATCTTCGGCTAGTTACGCCGCTGCTCTACCACTTGAGCTATCATGACCTCCAATCACTCGGACACTAACTTCCCATCTCAACCCCACCTTTTGAATTTTCCCTCCTTTTTGCCATTTTTCAAATTCAAAAGGTGGGGTTGAGATGGGAAGTTAGTGTCAGAGTGGATCGTGGTCACGATAGCTCAAGTGGTAAAGCGGCTGCGTATCTAGCGGAAGGTCATGGGTTCGAATCCCGCTAGTGACACTGACTTTTTTATCTCAACTAAAAACCTTAATTAATTCAAAGATATTACTTGCTCAAGCGGACCACGAAAACTACTGAATATTATTTACTGTTCGCGTATACAAGTTTTGAAAGTCCAGAAAAATGTATCGACTTCTCTGAAACGCCTTATACAATGTTCTAATCTGAACTTAAGTAATCTAAACATTCCGTAATCCGAACTGGAAAAAAATCAATAAAGTAGAGTTTTATAGGAAATAAATGAAATATTATTTGTGGGAAGGAGATAGAAAAAGAGAGGGAAAGAAAGAGAGGGTGAAGGGATGAGGGAGTGTGTATGAGAGAAGAAGAGAAAAGTGTGTGATTTTTATAAATCTGCTGGAAGTAAAACCTTTTTGAATTTACCTAAACTGTATCATGTAATGAGGTTCCATCGCAAAGAAATGCAAAATTTAAAAGAAAAAAGGGGCGAAAGTTCGTGAGTGAGATTAAGTTTAAGACATTAAGTGAGATTAAGTTTAAGGGGGGAGAGAAAGAAAGAGAGTGAGAGAGTTCCCTCCAAAGCACTGCAGCTGAGCTGTACAGCTTATTGTACTTTTACTTTATAAAAAAAAAAGTGAGTGAATAAATGAGTGTGTAAGAGAGTGTTAGAGAACGAGAGTAAGTCAGAGAATAAGAAAATATGAGTGAATCAGTTAGTGCGTAAATCAGAGGGAGTGAGAGAATAAGTAAATGAGTGAGGGAGAAAGTGAGTGAGTGAGTGAGAGAGAATGTGAGTGAGTAATAAAGAGTGCGAGAAAAAGAAAGTGAGAAAGTGAGTGTGAGAGAGCAAGTGAGGGAGTGTGTAAGTGAGAGAGTAAAAGATAGTGAATGAGTGAGTGAGAGAGTGAGTAAGAGAGTGTGAGAGAACGAGAGTAAGTCAGAGAATAAGAAAATATGAGTGAATCAGTTAGTCCGTAAATCAGAGGGAGAGAATAAGTAAATGAGTGAGTGAATGAGAGAGAATGTGAGTGAGTAATAAAGAGTGCGAGAAAAATAAAGTGAGTGTGAGAGAGCAAGTGAGGGAGTGTGTAAGTGAGAGAGTAAAAGATAGTGAATGAATGAGTGAGAGAGTGAGTAAGAGAGTGTGAGAGAACGAGAGTAAGTCAGAGAATAAGAAAATATGAGTGAATGAGTTAGTGCGTAAGTCAGAGGAAGTGAGTGAGAGTTAATAAGTAAATGAGTGAGGGAGAAAGTGAGTGAGTGAGAATGTGAGTAAGTAGTAAAGAGTGTGAGAAAGAGAGAGTGTGTGTGGGAGAGCAAGTGAGTGATTGTGTAAGTGGGAGAGTAATAGATAATGAATGAGTGGGTGAGAGTAAGTAAGTTAGTAAATAAATAAATGAGTGAGAGAGTGAGTAAGAGTGTGTGAGAGAACGAGAATAAGTCAGAGAAAAAGAAAATTTGATTGAATGAGTGCGTAAGTCAGAGAGAGTGAGTGAGAGTGAATAAGTAAATGAGTGAAAAAAGAAAGTGAGTCAGGGAGAGAGAATGTGAGTGAATAAGAAAGAGTGTGAGAAAGAGAGAGTGAGTGTGACAGAGCAAGTGAGTGAGTGGGTAAGTGGGAGAGTATTAGATAGTGATTGAGTGAGTGAGAGTAAGTAAGTTAGTAAGTGAATAAAAGAGTGAGTGAGAGAGTGAGTAAGCGAGTGAGTGAATAAAAGAGTGAGTGAGAGATTGTGAGAGAACGGAAGTAAGTAAGAGAATAAGAAAATATAAATTAATGAGTTAGTGAGTAAGTCTGAGAGCGTGAGTGAGAGTGAATAAGTAATGAGTGAGGGAGAAAGTGAGTGAGTGAGTAAGAGAGGGTGAATGTGAGAGAGCAAGTGAGTGAGTGTGTAAGTGGGAGATTAAGAGATAATGATTGAATGAGTGGGAGTGAGAAAAGAATGAGTGAATAAATGAGTGAGTGAGAGTGAATAAGTAAATGAATGAGGGAGAAATTAAGTGAGTGTGAGAGAGTGTGAGTAAGTAAGGAAGAGTGTGAGAAAGAGAGAGTGAGTGAGAGTGAGTAAGTGAATGATTGAATGAGAGAGAGAGTTTTCTTGTCCCTGTAAGGTTATGGGGACCAATTAAAAAAATATATATCACGGTTTATTACATTACTGTCTGAGACATTTTCATTGCATATTCAATTATCATTTTTACATTAAATTCTGGTTCACACAATTTTTCTCACATTATTCTCAATTAAAAAGCCATGAGCAGTGCCGGAATTCCGTAACCACTAGCATGACAAATACGAGTCGGACCCCCTAACCACTCGACTACTGCGGTCCCTTTATTCATTGGTTATTCATTTCATTTATAAATCATTGACGGTAATAAATCCTATTGATATTTTAATTCGTTCGCCCCTTCTGTAGGTTTATGCAAAGTTCAATTTACATATTTATTATTTTACGTAATAATATCTATGTGGGGGGGGGGACCGCGGTAGACGAGTGGTTAACGCGTCAGACTCTCGGCTGGTAGATCCCGCGGTCTTCGGTTCGATCCCCACCGTCGCCTTTGGACTTTTTCTGACGCCTAAGAGGACCGGTGGCCGCAATTGAAAGAAATTGACACGTCACTCATCAATGGAAGGGGGGGATCAAATCTCATCGACCCTGAATTTGGTCCCAACCCCTTTTTTTTCTGACCTTACTTTATGCATCGGCCAAAGAAATAATTATATGAAACCCGATGAGGCGGAGACGACCAAAGGGGCCAGGAGGATTACCTAAGCGGCCCAAGCCGACGCAGCGGGGACTGGAGGGCTTTATAAAAATCAAGCGCCCCGACAATGACCCCCCACTCGCCCCCCGATCAAAACCGCCTCACCGAACATAGCCTAATCCTCTGATTTAAATTTCAATGCTACATGATACCAGAAAATCAAATATATGAGTATATATATCTATATCATTAGTACCAATTAAAGTGTCCAAGTTGAAAGGCCGTTCAACACTTTTACACCCAGCAATATTCCGTAATAAGTCAGCTCTCTGAACTTCGTACTCGTTGCAGATCAAAATTATGTGTTTGAGATCCTCGACCTATATCGCATGTAGCACAATTAGGGATGGGTCTTAAATTTATTTTGTACAAATACGCTCCACATATACCGTGCCCTGTCCTAAGGCGAGATATAGTGGAGTAGAACGCTTTACTCTTACCCCCGACTGCAAACCAGGGTTGCTTTTGAATGTTGGAAAATATAGCTCGATAATGTTTCCCAGCTTCCGGAGAATTGTACAAGATTTGCCATTTTTCTGAACATATTTTTTTAACGTGATTTTTAAGATCTCCTTTAGTATAGCATATGTCAAGAGTAGCGCCACTTTCGGTAGCAGCCTTGGCCAGCTTATCCACTGTCTCGTTGTGGCAAACCCCCGAATGCCCTTTGACCCAGCATAACGTAATCTTTTTATTATATATTTGGAACAATTCCTGTAGTTTCTTAAGAACCTCGATAATGATATATTCACATTTAGAGTTTAGACTGAAATTTTTAATTTTTTGAATGACGCTTAGACTATCCGTAAAAATGCTGATTTTTTCTGACAAAATATCTGCGGCATATTCTAAAGCCTTGATTATAGCAACGATTTCGGCCGAATAAATAGAAAAAAATTTGGGAGAGAAACTTGTTCATGATGCTTATTTAGGGGATTGAATAAAGCGCATCCTGTTACCATCAATTAGGGAACCATACGTGCAAATCAGTCGAAAATCAGGAAATAACCTACTCACATCAGATAAAAATTCCTTCAGCGCTTGTAAAGTAGGAAACTCGGAATAATCCCTGAACGTGTAACTTCTCTTACAATTGTCTCGTATTCTAGGGTAAAAATAGGAGGTATAATACTTTTATATAGAGAGAATATAAGGGGTCCCAACCCACTTCAAAAATGAGTTTCTTCGATGGAAGAACACCAGCACACCGGGGGCTCAAATTCATCCTTGTGTTGTGAGCTCCCCCCCCCCAAAAAAAAATAACTGTACAGCTGCAGTGCTCAGGAAGGAACTTCTCCAGTTCCTGGTATCCATTGTAAAAAAAATCTATTTTGAAAATTTAACCCCACTGTAGATGGCAAAATGAAGAAGCAGCCTGGCTAAAATCATCAACACTGATTCTACGTTGAACTTGACCGTGAAGTTACATAGGTCAGATTCTGGCCTAATTGGCTTCAGGTCTAAGCACCTATATTCATGTACATTATTTTATCATAAATTTAATTTAATGCTTACATATTATTATATTAGTATATAAACTATTAACGTTTGATTTTTTTTTACATTAAAAATTTATGTTAAACACGTAGAAGTAACGATTCCAATAGGGAAAATTAATATCGTATATAAATCGTCTTAATGCAGGTATTCGTGCTATTGAATTCACTAGGGGGTTTAGAATTTAATCACTACTACATCTTATTATGAAATTCTCTTTGAGGAATTCTTAATAATGCCGAAACCACACCTATCCAAGCAGCGCTATCGTGTCGCGCTGAATTAGTGAACGAAAGTCAAAATTGAAAATGTACAAAATTTGTAGCCAGGAAATAGTTAAAATGGGGGAATAAGGTGTATGTTTGTGTGTGGGAGGTAGAGAGAGAGAGAGAGAGAGAGAGAGAGAGAGAGAGAGAGAGAGAGAGAAAAGAATAGTGAGTGAGTTAAAAGTTTAACTCCATTTCAACGTGACACTTTGCGCACACTCGACAAGTTTTTCCAAGATAGTAACTTAATTGGACTTTTAACTAAAGTTAGACGCAGGAGAAATTGCAACTTAACCGGACCAGAAGTTCATTTCTTGGAATATTTATTTAAACATTTTTAACAATAGAAAATTATTTAACTTATAATAAAATTAAATGAATGAACTGAAAAATCAACGTACTTCCGTTATCGTTCCTTAGGATTAAAAAATTTTCCAAGTTATTTAGTTACTTTACGAACGTCGTACGTTTTTTATGTATTGTTTGTACTATACTCCAAATTTTTACACGAAAAAAATATTAAGAAAACAGCGAAAATATAGTCTTCTACGTTTTTTTTTTTTTTTTTTTTTTTTTTTTNATACCGATTTTCCGACGCCAGGACGTGATATCTTTCAAAATCGATAAAAAGCGAAATTACTCTGAAATGGTTGAGAATCGGACCATGGACAATATGAACTTTTTGTTCATTTTAGGGTGAAGAATCTACTGGAGAAGTTTGTAGCACGAGTAGCAATTCACCCTGTATATCCTAGCTTATCTTGACTTATTTACGTCCGGAACAAAATGCTTGTAAATACGTTTTAAAAATTAAATAGCGTGCATTCATTTTGCTTTTATCGTGTATTTGCCACTTTTTGAAAATATCATTACTGAGATTGTTATTTCACTTTCACACCCTGGTTCCTAATAATGGGGATCGTCGCTGACCAGAAACTTGTTAGCACATGTATTACTGTTGTTTCCGTCCTCATTATCCCGTCCGGGCCACTGTGTTGAGATTCACAATGAATGAAACAGATGGGAAAGAGAAAATAAATAAAAGGACATCCCGGGGGATCCAAAGTTGCCGGAATGAATTACATGGTTCACCGCTTTTTCTAATATACCGTGGCAAAGAACTCATTTCTCTTAATTTAACTAATAAACAATCTTAACAAAATAAAATGTATAATTCACTAGTTTTCGTGGTCCGCTCGAACAATTAATATGTTTCAATTAATTAAGGTTTTTAGTTGAAATAAAAAAGTCTGTGTCACGAGCGGGATTCGAACCCACGACCTACGGCTGGATACGCCGCTGTTCGACCACTTGAGCTATCGTGTCCTCGATCCACTCGGACACTAACTTCCCATCTCAACCTCACCTTTGAATTTTCCCTCCTTTTTGCCATTTTTCAAATGTCGTGTAATCCATTTGATTCTCGGCGACAAATGAAATGGCCACGGAGAACTTTAGTGAAGTATACTTCATTTAGCTTAATAAATTCATTAGTTTCGTGGTCCACTTGACCAATTAATAAATTTCAATTAATTAAGGTTTTTAGCTAAGATAAAAAAGTCAGTGACACGAGCGGGATTCGAGGACACGATCTTCGGCTAGATACGCCACTACTCGACCACTTGAGCTATCGTGACTTCGATCCACTCGGACACTAACTTCCCATCTCAACCCCACCTTTCGAATTTTCCTTCTTTTTGCCATTTTTCAAATGTCGTGTAATCTATTTGATTCTCGGCGACAACTGAAATGGCCACGGAGAGCTTTAGTGAAGTATACTTCATTTAGCTTATTAAATTCACTAGGTTTCGTGGTCCACTTGACCAATTAATAAATTTCAATTAATTTAGGTTCTTAGTTGAGAATAAAAAAAGTCAGTGTCACGAGCGGAAGGAAGGAAGGAAAGGATGAAATTAAGACCGTAAAGGAGAGTGATAAGCTCCGTGCAAGACAACTTGAAAATCTTGACAATTTTACGAAAATTTCCAAAGCTTATTTCCAAAATCTGAAGCAGACCTTGAAATCGTGATTAGGAGTTTTTGGTGAACGTCCAGAAACTCAATCGAAAGTGGGTTTTTTAAATAGATAAAAAAATTAATTGCCAAAGCCCTATATCCATTGGTTTTGGTATTTCACAAAACTTTGCCAAGGGAACTACTCAAAAAAGACAAAAACTTTAAATCTTCGTTGGAGAATTGTAACTTGAGAGGAACTACCATTGTTATCAACGGTCTTTCGTTCCCCTGGGGCACTGGCTCTGGATTGTTGTTTGCGAGCGATACAAGCGTCAATAAGCTCATCGCAGTCTTGGGAATGGATTCTTCTTACATTATTCAGGAGCTTACCAGGGATATCGGAGGTAGCGTATGAGGGATTAACTCGAAGACTGCACACAGCAAATTGACACAAGATGAAGAAGACTTTCGTGAGAATGTAAACGTAAAACGTCTAATGCAAGTGTCAAAGGTACATTGTCCGCTTTAGAGTATAATACAATTAATTAAGGTTTTTAGTTGAGATAAAAAAGTCAGTGTCACGAGCGGGATTCGAACCCACGATCTTCGGCTTGATACGCCGCTGCTCTACCACTTGAGCTATCGTGACCTCGATCCAGTCGGACATCAACTTCCTATCTTAACCCCACCTTTTGAGTTTTCCCTCCGTTTTGCCATTTTTCAAATATCTTGTAATCTATTTGATTCTAGGCGACAAATGAAATTGCCACGGAGAGCTTTAGTGAAGATTACTTCATTTAGCTTATTAAATTCACTAATTTTCGTGGTCCACTTGACCAATTAATAAATTTCAATTAATTAAGGTTTTTAGTTGAGATAAAAAAAGTCAGTGTCACGAGCGAGATTTCAAATTCAAAAAGTGGGGTTGAGATGGGAAGTTAGTGCCCGAGAGGATCGAAGCCACGATAGCTCAAGTGGTAGAGTAGCGGCGTATCTAGTCGAAGGTCGTGGGATCAAATCCCGCTCGTGACACTGACTTTTTTATCTCAACTAGAAACCTTAATTAATTGAAAAATGTTGAAAAAAACCGTTGAGTATTATAATAAACAAAAGTTTAACAAGTGGGTCAGTATTGGCATTTGCATTCAAAACAAACACAAACCGATTTTAAATGTTAAACAAATCAACAAGTGTTTATTGAAGAACAACAGGCTAATCCATACCTAACCGATGAGCTGGCACACGGTAGATAACTCTTCTGTTAGAATGGCTGATTTGCTTAGACGGGGGATTAGGCAAGGATTGAGAAGACAATGGATGCGCTAAGAAACTATTACGCTTTGATTAATCAACATGGCTTTGGCGCACTTTCAGCATCCGCAATAATAATATTAACTAGAATTATAAATAACGCGTTCCCTGTAAGTAAACCCTTGGGAAAAAAATTGATTTATCGATTAGGTGACCCGTATTTATAAGGAAAAAAGGATTCTGTACGAGCACGATTGATCTGTTCCATGATTGATAGGATACTGGATAAGGATTAAATAGCCTGATAACTTTACGAATGACACGAGTCAACATCCGACAATTCTATATTTTCTTCTTTGTCGTATGTTCGATATCCGATTCTAGTTGTCCAATAAAATTTTTAATCTAACTAAAAATTGTTTAAAGTAAACTTCTATTTAATTATTTAAATTAATTTAGGTCTGCGTTTGGCATGAAGATGTATGAAGAGGACGTCAGGATCGTACCAAAGACCAGCTTAACTGAAAGAATAATTTCTTTAAAAGTATGGCCGAAGACGCTTTTGATCGAAGGGAAATTTAAACTGAACAGGATCAACTTGAGAGACCTTTATTCAAAGGCTTCTGGCAGCTTCAGGTATTCCTTTTCTTTTTTTATGTAAAAAATATATGAGATCGGGGCTTCCAAAATTTTTTAGTCAGCGGACCCCTCTCATTCAAGTATTTAAAATTAGATACTTGTAGTGTGTAGTAAATTAAAGTTTTATAAATTAGCCAGTCCAATTCCTAATTAAGTAATGGAGGGGGACATCACTATGAAAACAAACATTTCATTCACATACTTAACTTTATATACAAAATCAGAATAGAATCAATAGTTAGGTAAAACTTGAGACAATTTTAGAAGTAATAATTTGAATATTAATGATTAAATGTGTAGAGATTAGTGACCGTTAATCGATAGTTATTCAGATATCGTGAGATGCGGTCGGGTGTGATGTAGGTTTCAGAAAAACATTTTCATGTGTAAATGCCCAGATTATGTCAGACATAATCATGACACATCTACTAAATACAATCATACCACAACTTCCTTTCACATTACCCTTCCTCACTAAATACGTAGATGATATATTGACAGCAGTTCCCACAGATCAAATTCAAACTACATTAGATACATTTAATAGCTTTCACCCACGCCTACAATTTACACATGAAATCGAAAACAACAAAACAATACCATTTTTAGATACACTTGTAATAAAACAACCAGATGGCACATTAATCACAGATTGGTACCAAAAACCAAGAAACACAGATCGCTACCTCAACTTTAAATCTCACCATCCTCTTCATACAATAATAAACACGGCCAAAGGGTTACTTCACAGAATGATTACCCTGAGCCATGAATCATTTCACCACAAAAACATAAAGATATACAAACAGATCCTCCATAACAATCTCTACCCTAAGCACATAATTAACAGAATAATCAACAACTACAACTCAACACTAACACATTCCACTATTACTAATAATACTACATTAAGCATATCAAATACAAACAAACAAGCATACATTTCCATACCATTTATTCAAGGCCTATCACATAAACTAAACACATTTATCTCGTCGGATAACTTCAAAATAGCTTTCAAAAATTATAAAACAATCCCAACACTTTTTTCCAAAGTTAAAGATCCCACACCAATAACAAATAAATCTGACGTAATCTACAAGATCAACTGTTTAAACTGTCCGGCAACATACATCTCAATATCTAGACAAGAGTGTAAAGCAACATATCTATACTTGCAAAAAACCCAAGCAAAATCCTACAGCACTCGCTACCCACCACTTTGAACACCAACACAATTTTGACTTCAAAAATCCAAAAATATTACATCCAGAACAAAACAAATATAAACGTGTGTAGAGATTAGTGACCGTTAATCGATAGTTATTCAGATATCGTGAGATACGGTCGGGTGTGATGTAGGTTTCAGAAAAACATTTTCTTTATCGTGCCAACGTTTCGATCTTTTATTGAGATCATCTTCAGGGCCTGGGATTTACAAACAATGTTTACATTTAGCAAATACATTTAGGATGTAGAAAAGTGAATTTATACAATGCTAAATATATTTTATATTCAAACAAAGTATTTCTACTCACTCAAAGTGTTTGTTTTCTGTGTAATTGTGCTATCCTTTGTCGTGTGAGATTTTGCTGTTTTGTTTATATATGTTTGGTTTTGAAGGGGTGGGGAAGGAAGTCGGTATATAAAAGACACGCCTTACACAAAATTGTCTTTGTTTTAATGTTTGATAGCTGGTTGTCCGGTTCAGACTGCTTCGGTATTGAGTTAGGGTGGCTGTATAAATAAAAAATCTGGATTCGCATAGGTAAGTTGTGACAAATGGAAGAAGAACTATTGCTTTAGACTTAAAATTGTCCATAATAAACAACCAATACGGATATAGATAACCCACAACTACAGACAGTATGATTCCAGCGGATTCTTCCCACCCATGGTCCCAAAATGCTTCTGGTTTCATTTGGCTCATAGACCGGACGTTAAAACTTCCGCTAACACCTGATAACTATAAAAAAGAATTAACAACTATTAAAACCTTAGCAAAAAACAACGGGTATCTAGAAATAATTATTGATATACAATTAATTAAGGTTTTTAGTTGAGATAAAAAAGTCAATGGCACGAGCGGGATTCGAACCCACGATCTTCGGCTTGATATGCCACTGCTCAACCACTTGAGCCATCGTGACCTCGATCCACTCGGACACCAACTTCCCATTTCAACTACACCTTTGAATTTTCCCTACTTTGACTTTGACTTTTTTATCTCAACTAAAAACTTTAATTAATTGTATGATATTAATTGGTCAAGCGGACCACGAAACTAGTGAATTTATTGATATGTTGTTAGTTAAAAGAATAAAAAAAGTATTTAAACGAATCAACAAAAGGATTCAGCCACCCGACCATAAGTGAACCATTAGGTTTCCGTTGTTTGCCATACATTGGAATTATCGGAAAAAGTTAGTAAAATTTTTAAACGAGAAGGTTTTAGAATAGCTTTTATAAGTACCGGGTCAATAAAAAACATCCTCTCAAAACCTAAAGACAAAGTGGACAACTTGGCTGGGTTTATCAACTCAATTGTAATGATTGTGATATTAAATATATAGGACAAAGTGGTAGGGAAATAAAAACGAGAGTAAAAGAAGTCTTTCCTAAATCGAGCAAATTTTCGGAATTTAAGGACCATCTAAAAGAAACAAAACTTAATTTTAATTCAAATTTAAATACAGCAGTGTTACATAGTTTCAACATAGGGTAAGAACAAGATTGGTTTGAGAAATTTGAAATTAAAAAATGTAAAATTGAACATGGTGATAAATGCATTAATAATTTAACAGATTTTGATCTACCTCCCATTTTAAATATGTACATAANGTGGGAATCGAACCCACGACCGCGGCGTGAGAGTCTCTCATGCTAACCACTCGGCTACCGCGGTCCCCCATTTATCATTTCTTGACCACCTTTCTTATCTTTCCTTCCTGAATATAACTTGGTTTAATTGAACCAAGTAACCCACGGTAAGAAAAATTATAGCTTGTCAGAAGATCTGGAACTTTCCAGACCGTAGGTGATGGAAAGAGGAACTGGATTTCACGTTTGCTGGAACTGTTCGTAGTTTGCGAAGTCTTCTCCCTAACTAATGCTTTGAAATTACATTTTTTTTTTTTTTTTTTTTTTTACCTTGGTATTTTCAATATTCAATTATTTTAAATCACCCCTTAACATTACGCAACAAATACTTGGAAATATAATAAATTTGGTCCAGTGTTTAAAAGATAATGGCACCTAGAGATGAAAGAAATATTGAAGAGTGGAAACCAAAATCTCTATTTTTTTTTAAATTTGTGTGTTTTTAACATTAAACATTGCATAATTTTTTATGTATTTAAATGAGTTATCAGGTTTTCATTATTTTTCGGACTTTATGGGTTTTATTTATGACATTTTTATGGCCTTCAAGTACCTAGTTATTTTACGTTTGTTTACAGTCTTAATAATTAACGGTTGATAATTTTCCCCTCGTTTCGTATTATAATATTTATTTGTGTTATAATTCCCGCTTTCGCACGTTCAATATTGAGCGCCATTAAAAAACCAGCTGCTAATTGGAACGTCGCATTGGCGGGGGTATCAGCGGGTTCAGTTTTACAATTCATGTCGAGAGACGTGCTTGTAGAAGTCCTTCAACCTGATGATGACCTAAGGGGCTCGAAATCCGAATTGTTGCGAAACAACTTAATGTGAGTAGGAACCATTTTTTTAAAAAAGGATTGAACACCGCACTCACTCATCATTTCTACTACTTTTGCTTTTTCAACGAGCTGTTGAAATTTTTTGTTTTCTAGTCGGAGTCAAAAATGGGTATAAGTATCGGACTCGAAATAGTCAGTCCTTCAGGGAGGAGTCTGAAGTAACGTCTGTCAAAATTTCTATTCTCTTGAAGATCGACTGGTTGGCTTTGTAGGTTTGACAACCCATTCGTGTCTTGCAGCATTTTGTCTCGATCTATTAGAACTAGAGCTCAAAGGATATCTCCAAACTTCCAATATGCTGAGATATTTCACCAATTAAACTCGCAACCTCCAGTTTTTCTTTTAAAATACATTCATTCACAATACTCCGGATGACTCGTATTCTTCGGGTAATTGGGGATTTTGGAACAACAATTCCCCAAGGCATGGTCATTGAGATGTCTTAGTTCTTTTTTTGTACACCGAAGTCCGACCACATTGTCCCTACTCTCCAGACTTGGCCCATCTGTCTTTCATTTTTTTTTTTTTTAGTGATATATAATCATATGTGTAATCGGGAGTTTTGTAGTAGCTAACAGCTAGAACATTAGCTAAATTTATTAAGTCTCGAGCCTAAACCTTTATAACAAGGACTGGTAACTCGTTGGGAGAAATTTATAAATGGCAATGGAAACTATTTTCCCGAATAAAATATTTCTAAACTAATTTTAATTGTGACCCTTTAAACCTGCACTTTTCTTGTTAAAAGTTATTATAATGATAGCAATTAAATTGAACATAGGGATTTTCACTTTCGCCAGTTTTGACGGAAAAAAGTCACGATGCGGATTGGTGATTCGATGAGGGCTTTTTAAGGGTTCGGAAAATGACACCTCGAATATAGATCAAAAAAAGCTTCTAACGTTTGTCCTTGGCCTCTATTTTACCTACTCGAATTCCACGTAGGTACACAAAACCAAAACAAATCGCAATATTTTGTACTTTTCGTCTTTTTCCCTCTAAGCCAGTTTACAAACAGTGTCATAAACTGCAATTTCTTGTTTAGTTTCTTTTTGTCATTTTAGAATTGGCAGTTATTGTCCAATTAAATTAATTAATATTTTTAGTTGAGATTAAAAAATAGATTACACGACATTTGAAAAATGGCAAAAAGGAGGGAAAATTCAAAAGGTGGGGTTGAGATGGGAAGTTAGCGTCCGAGTGGATCGAGGTCACGATAGCTCAAGTGGTAGAGTAGCGGCGTATCTAGACGAAGGTCGTGGATTCGAATCCCGCTCGTGACACTGACTTTTTTATCTCAACTAAAAACTTTATTTAATTGCAATATATTAATTGGTAAAGCGGACGAAGAAAACTAGTGAATTCAATAAGATAAAATGAAGTATATCTTCACTAAAGCTCTCCGTGGCAATTTCATTTGTCGCCGAGAATCAAATAGATTACGCGACATTTGAAAAATGGCAAAAAGGAGGGAAAATTGAAAAGGTGGGGTTGAGATGGGAAGTTAGTGCCCGAGGGGATCGAAGTCACGATAGCTCAAGTGGTAGAGTAGCGGTGTATCAAGCCGAAGGTCGTGGGTTCGAATCCCGCCCGTGACACTGACTTTTTTATCTCAACTAAAAACCTTAATTAATTGTAAATAGAAATGTTGATTACGGGTATTAAAACGATAACGAATGAAAACCCGCATGAACCTTGGTAACTAACGATTTTTACTGTTCTTTATTATTACTAAATGCCAATGAAGAAAAAATCTATACTTCAAAATTTCATGGCATCCGATTCGATTAATGACAATTGATATCGAAAAGATCCAATACTGATTGTATTACAGGTTGAATTATTGACGTGTTTTACCTTTTCTGTGTTGCCTAACCAAAGAAATAATATTGCAAATTGAAATATTTTTCGTTATACAATATTGTTAATTTTCATACGGCTGCACAAATTGGTAAACAGATCGCAAATGTATTTACAATGGAAGTACTGGTAAACATTGGCAGAAGGGATTTTCCAATTTAAAAAAGTGGAAATGCCATTATACAAATTGGCTTGTAATAAAAGAGAATTGACAATATATAAATATTTAAACATTATGTCATAGACGACGTTTGGATAAATGTATTTTACTACCGACTAACTGTCAGAAACTCGATATTGAAATTTCCTAAAAAATAAAATAACTTCCGGTCGAGTTTCATATTTCATCTATAAGATTTAAGATATTTTCAAGCTATATTATGTGATTAAGCTGTTTAAATAATGAGGAATTAATTAAGAAGAGAGCGTTACATTATTTACTGTAATAATAATAATTGTTTTGTAAAATAAGGTAAAATTATGTAACTTAAAATTACACTACTATGCTTTACTTAATGTATTAAAAACATAATTAAAAATCAAAGTTCATTGAAAAATATTGTACATAAAAAAGCGACCGTGAACTGGATCAGCAGTGAAGCTATCACGTATCAAGAACACAGGCGATAGGTGGCCCTAGGTGAGGATTTAACCCGATTAAGGATAGGCCATGCGAGGTTGACACACAGACGCTTACTTTTAAGACAAAGCCAGCCTACGTGACCGGCATGTAGAGAAAGATTACTCGATGTGTCCCACTTAATTAACCTAAGAGAATTGTTCTTCAGAACGGCAGCGTGTGGGTGTTGAGAGTGAATGGGTATTGCGAGGTGTTCTATGGCGGAATATTTTAAAATCCAGGAATAATGGGGGAATCCTATTAATGAAGAAGACGAAAATTTTTCTTTAGGCAGTCATACAGAAAATATTGATTATTTTAATTTTTTTACTAGCAACCTAATAAATACATTCAATTAATTAAGGTATTTAGTTGAGATAAAAAAGTCAGTGTCACGAGTGGGATTGGAACCCACGACCTTCGGCTAAATACGCCGCTGCTCTACCACTTGAGCTATCGTCACTTCGATCCACTCGGACACTAACTTCCCATCTCAACCCCACCTTTTGAATTTTCCCTCCTTTTTGCCATTTTTCAAATATCGTGAAATCTATTTGATTCTCGGCGACAAATGAAATGGCCACGGAGGGCTTTAGTGAAGATATACATCATTTTATCTTATTAAATTCACTAGTTTCGTGGTCCATTTGACCAATTAATAAATTTCAATTAATTAAGGGTTTTAGTTGAGATAAAAAAAGTCAGTGTCACGTGCGGGATTCGAACCCACGATCTTCGGGTAGATACGCCGCTGCTCTACCACTTGAGCTATCGTGACTTCGATCCACTCGGACACTAACTTTCCATCTCAACCCCACCTTTCGAATTTTCCCTCCTTTTTGCCATTTTTCAAATGTCGTGTCATCCATTTGATTCTCGTCGACAAATGAAATTGCCACGGAGAGCTTTAGTGAAGATATACTTCATTTTATCTTATTAAATTCACTAGTTTTCGTGGTCCGCTTGACCAATTAATATGTTTCAATCAAATAAGGTTTTTATTTGAGATAAAAAAGTCAGTGTCACGAGCGGGATTCGAACCCACGACCTTCGGCGTAATACGCCGCTACTCTACCACTTCAGCTATCGTGACTTCAATCCACTCGGGCACTGAATCTAATAAATACAATTTAGCAAAACTGTGACGGTGAAGGGGACAATGGCTAAAATATAAACAATTTTAGAGGTATATTTTTTAAATACATTTCTCGCTATATATATTTTTTTTAAATCAAAATACAATGTAATAGTGATACAATATAATAAAATTTATCAAACCACCTTCAAAAAATGAAAGTTTTGTCGGAGACTGCCAATATTATTTTTACGATATGTTCAGACAGATTAAATTTAACAAGGAAACTTTGTCCCTTGCACAAATATTCCGTCTGCGAATTGTCTTGAAGATGGGAAAAATCGTATGTACTATAAAAACATATTCCATCGCATTTCACGTTGCAATATAATGGTTATTTTCTTATCAATTTGATTTTTGTTGAAAAGAATATGACCTAAGACAATTAAAAAACACGAAGAAAAGCTTATTGCTTTTAAGTGAACACTGAGAGAAGTAAACAGGTAATTTTAAAACTTAACTAACCGTATCTAAGACTTTTTTAAATATTTGCACATTTGTACTTCTAATGGCATTTTAAAGTAAACTAATTAAAAGTAGAAGTCACGTTTTATGAATTGTGTTGTTAAACAAGATCGTCAAACAATTTTTATTGATATTTACTTCATTTTACCATCAAAATTTAGGTATTCCTGGATTTTTTGTTTAACACGTTGTGATCCTTTCACATATTGTGTGCATGGATTCTGTAGAAATCGGGCATTTTTAAATATTCCATGATATTTCTAAATAAACAATATACTAAATTAAATATTGATTTTGTAATATTTTTGGTCAAAATTGTTGTAATATTAGGGATGATTTATCGCTATCTAGAATTGCAATGGTTGTTATAAATTAAAAAAGAAGGATATGTCTTAAAAACATTTACGTTCAGTCCCATAACAATAAAATAAATAATATACCAAGGATTGAATGGCACCTTAGGGTGTACTTAGAAATGGAGAAAAAGGCCGTAATTTATTTGCATAGCTTCTGAACATAAAAGACTACAGAAATTTCCCGTATTTTTTATTTCATTTTAACCTTAATTTTATATATATATTATATAATTTTTGTACAATTTGTTTTTTCTTCTGTTCCAGAATAATAATAACCGGGTTGAAGTGCGAAGGTACAGCGGCTATAGTGACAGGATCAAGCCCTTCCATCGAATGGCTCCAGCTCTTCTGCGATCACAAAGGAAAAACCACAAACACTCAGGTCTATTGTTTTATTGTTTGCTAACTTTACTGCGGAAAGAAAACAACCGGGAAAAATTTTGAACCACTTAAAACTTCACCCACGATCGATTTGTTTTTGGTTTTTTTGAAATAATTATGATGATCGTTCACAAAGTACCTTGTGTTTTTCAGACGTTTCCAGATTTCGTAAGAGGGCCTTTTGTCGAAAGATACATGGATTTCTATTTTGGTAATGCTGTTCAAAAAAGCGTTGTGAAAATGTTAAGGTTTGATTGTATGAACAGGGACGGACGTCAACAAACAACTAGAACGGAACATCGACGATCGTCTGGAAGACTCTGCTAAATTGTGGCTGACAAAGCGATTAGGGAGGATGTCGATGATAATCAGGCAAAACGCCAAGATAAGAAGCCAAGCTTACAAGTAAGTAACTCGCGGTAAATCAAGAGAAGAGAATTAGTTTTGGTTTATCGGTGGTACTTAAAGTTTTTATCTTTTATTTTCTCATACTGACAATGAGACTCCAAAAAAAGTGAAAAATGTATTTATTTTGTAGTGGTAGTCTAGTTGAATTGAGTTGAATAAATATATTTTAAAAAAATAGTTTTATACTTCAAAAACACACAGCAACAGTATACAATATAACTTCATTAGTTTTCGTGGTCCGTTGACCAATTAATATCTTTCAATTAATTATGGTTTTTCGTTGAGATAAAAATGGCAAAAAGGATGGAAAATTCAAAAAGGTGGGGTTGAGTTGGGAAGTTAGTGTCCGAGTGGATTGAAGTCACCATAGCTCAAGTGGCAGAGCAGCGGCGTATTAAGCCGAAGGTCGTGGGTTCGAATCCCGCTCCTGTCACTAATTGTTATCTCTACGAAGATCTTACATAAAAAGAATAATTAACTAAAATAATTAAAATGGTCAATTAGACGACTAAGTATACAATGGATTAAGATTAATATTGAACTAGAAGTAAAACACTCAGTTCTTCAATTATTTTTTCAGATAATTCAAATTAAAAATTTAATACATCGAGTACAGAAATTTATTCAATGATAGCAATCCTAAACTATCACTTAATCACTGGCTCTCTATGAGAGCAACTCACGGGCATACTGCTTTTTTGGAAATCGAGGAGATAGATGAGAAAAGATAAGGAGGAAAATAGCTATAACTTGGAATTAAAGTGGGATTGCAGGTTAGTGTGGAAATTTTTGTAGGTGGATTTTACAAGTTCATTTAAAAAGTGAACATTTAGGTCGCTATGGACGTACAGTTAGAATATTAGAACGGGGAGTTGACGATGGTCTAAGGATTCGTGACTGCAAGGATTCGGCAGAAATTGTAAAGTCTAAAACGGAAGGTTCCTAGTTCCTGTACCCTATGTCCATAGTGGTTTCTATATTGAGTTGTGTATTAGTATTTTGTTGTATTGGGAGAGTTTTGAGCTGTTATTGGGTTGGGATCGTCGGTTCCATCCTTTTGAATCATGTATCATAATTCATTAGATTCGTGGTCCGCTTGACCAATTAATATCTTTCAATTAATTAAAGTTTTTAGTTGAGATAAAAAAGTCAGTGTCACGAGCGTGATTCGAACCCCGATCTTCGGCTAGATACGGCGAAAATCGGCAAAAAATGGAAAATGGCGAAAAGGAGAGAAAATTCAAAAGGTGGGGTTGAGATGGGAAGTTAGTGTCCTAGTCGATCGAGGTCACGATAGCTCAAGTGGCTGAGTAGCAGCGTAGCAAGCTTAAGGTCGAGGGTTCGAATCCCGCTCGTGCCACTGACTTTTTATCTCAACTAAAAACCTTATTTAATTGAAATATATTAATTGGTCAAGCGGACGACGAAAACTAGTGAATTTAATAAGATAAAATGAAGTATATCTTCACTAAAGCTCTCCGTGGCAATTTCATTTGTCGCCGAGAATCAAATAGATTACACGACATTTGAAAAATGGCAAAAAGGAGGGAAAATTCAAAAGGTGGGGTTGAGATGGGAAGTTAGTGTCCGAGTGGATTGAGATCACGATAGCTCAAGTGGTAGAGCAGCGGCGTATCTTGCCGAAGATCGTGGATTCGAATCCCGATCATTACACTGACTTTTTTATTTCAACTAAAAACCTTAATTAATTGAAAATTATTAATTATAGTTGCATTCTTCTGATTGAGTAGATATATTTCTTGAGTCTTTTCGTTCTAATTGGCCTCATCTCTGACTCATCTTTTTGTACTTGTATTTTGAATCTTGATAACTAATTGTATCGGAAATATTTATCACTACATCCTTAGATGTTGTTTTGATTCACCTGGCGATTATAAAAAGTGACTTACAGGGCCTTTGTGCTCTGCGAAAATTTCAAATTTTCAGCGTAAACTCCATTAAAGTCATAATAAACTTCGTGCTAATAGGAAAGCGGAATTAGATTTCAGAGCGAGTATTCATCTCCAATTCAATTGCTACTTGGAGAATAAACACTGAGCACCTTATAATTGTTATTTTAGTTTTAATCATTTGCCAATCCCGGTGATGGTGCACTTTCGCGTGAATTGTTGATACGGTGCGTGGTCAGCGTTCAATACAGCGAATTTTCCAAGGCAATCTGGCTAATTAGAAAATTATAACGACAAGATTACAAAGGAATAATTTTATCTTGAAATCTATGTTACAGGAATAGCAGCGACCAGGAGGAAGTGGATGCGAACGAGATTTTCGACGGCATTCTCGGTTTTGCCGTCTTCGCAATCAAAAACCATTTCAACGATACTATTAAGATTCCAGACATAAGGGAAGGCTTTGAAAAAAACGTGAGTTTAATTTAATTGCATTTCTCCACCTTTTTTTTATAAAGCAGGCTTTGGAAAACAAAAACCTCTTCTCTCTCATCATTCTAAAAAAGAAAATAACAAAAGAGCTTTTCGTGATAATTAGTTTCGTTCGTGTATTTTTTATTATATTACAAAAGGAGAAAATATTTTAATAAAATTTATATGTACAGATTGAAAGGACTGCTGAAATTTTAGACAAAAAAGCATTAATTAATAATAAAGTGAAGGACATAAAGATAGTACGAAATTAATACCGTGTAAGTTGTATATCTACGTGCTGAATTTATGTAGATAGTAAGTCTTGTTGATTTAATGTTACAAATATTTTCAAAATATCCCTCTCATCTATAAATTTAATTCCCTAATTTTCGTGGTCCGCTTGGTCAATTAATATCTTTCAATTAATTAAGGTTTTTAATTGAGATAAAAAGGAGGGAAAATTCAAAGGTGGGGTTGAGATGGGAAGTTAGTGCCCGAGTGGATCGAAGTCACGATAGCTCGCGTGGTAGAGCAGCGGCGTATCTAGCCGAAAATCGTGGGTTCGAATCCCGCTCATGACACTGACTTTTTTATCTCGACTCTTCTTAATTAGTTGAAAGGTATCAATTTAATGTTTAATTTATTTAATAAATTGGCTAGTTGAATGTAGTCTATTCTGTTCTTGAAATGGCGTCTTATTACTGCGTCAATTAGTTTATTTGTTTGTATATTAAATCTGTTATTGAGAGCTATTTTTATTGTTTGTATTATAATTAATTGTATTTTTCATCGGTTAAGTTGGTATTACTGATTTTAATATCTACTACATAATAATAATAATAAAGTCTTTATTAACAAAATAATGAATATGATATGTATATTTTATTCTTATCATTCATCATTACTCCATGGTACTGTGACCATATGTACTACATGTATTTGAACATGAAATTCGAAAAAAAAAAATAATCAAAGATATAGAATTTTTTGTTACTAAATTGAGAAAATGATAAATGCTTTAAGGATAATTAATACAATTTCAGGATGAAATCATTTGGAGTCGTCATAGCTTGTTTTCGACACACTAACCCTTTTCCCCCTCAAATTAACCCTTTTTAATATCAAATTACCCCTTTACGCACCAAATTAACTTTATTAAATTTGAAATTGACCATTTTTCACATCAGATTATCTCTTTTTAATTTCCAGTTAAATTGACAACTTATAGCAACTTCAAATTAACCCTTTGTTTAAAACAAAAGAAATTTCGAGATGTTATGAAAAGTAAGCACGTCAAATATAATTTATTATTTGTAACAATAAAATTAAAAATGAATTATTACGAACTTTCCTGTTCCCTGTTTTTGGAATCGCTTCAGAGGCGGCAGCTTTAATTTTTTCCGTAAACGTGGCAACGTCTATGTCGACGTTGTTACATAGGTTAGGAAGGTGGGCAATTTGAGTATACTTATTCCACTCTGGCATGCGGACATTCCATCTAGGACAAAATTCAAAATCCATTTTACGTATATGAGATTCTATTTTAATGGGGAGGTGATCACTTTGGACATCCGTTTCTAGGATGTTCCATTCAAAATTGGTCACTAGGGACGGAGAAACAATCGTCAGATCTATTGCACTAACTGACCCGGTATAGATGAGTGTATGCTCCATCATTCAGTATTATCCAGTTTCCCTCATTAATAATATTTTCCAAAGCAATCCTTCCTCGATTATTTGATGAACAACCCCAGGTAATGGAGTGAGCATTAAAATCACCCATAATCATTGCAGGGGACGGAAGTTGCGAAAATAAATTTCTTACTTCTTCTTCTGAAAAAAAGTTATTAGGAAAATATACTGAACATACAGAATATTTTCACGGAGCAAACACTTCAACGGCTACTGCCTGGAGATTGGTACCTAAGTCAATTTTCCTAGAAGGGATATTATTTCGAATATATGAACTCTACCACCTTCAGAAACCTCAGCCTCTTTAGAAAAAACGGTGTAACCTCGGTGTAAAGGATTTCGTTTTCTTAAGGCGAGTCTCCGGAAGAGCAATGATAAAAGGAGTATGGTCCACCTTGATCCTCTTCAAAAAGGAATAATTATTTTTCAGTCCTCTCACATTCCATTGGATGATTGATTCCATATTAATCGAAAATTTCAACCTTCTACCTAACACGAGTCAGCTAAACTGACTACTTAAGATTTTCTACAACTATTTTCCTTGGCCTCCCCTTTTTCCAACCCCTCTTATTTTTGGGGGGGGCGCCGTAATTTTGGCGGGATTTCTTGGGGACAAAGGTGCTTGATGTTCTCCATTAATCGGAGAAACAGAAAGGGGAGAGGAGAGTTGAGTTGTGAAAGGGAAGGGGGAGGTAGGATGGGGACAAAACCATTTACAGGGGGATCCATAAGGGAAAATTGGACCCAAGATTATAGGAAAATTAATTTCATTGAAATTAAAACAAAAAATATATAAAATTAAATTATAACAATTATTAAATTCACTAGTTTTCGTGGTCCGCTTGACCAATTCCTTAATTCAATTAATTAAGGTTTTAAGTTGAGATAAAAAGTCAGTGTCGGGATTCGAACCCACGACCTTCGGCTAGATACGCCGCTACTCTACCACTTGAGCTATCGTAATTTCGATCCACTCGGACACTAACTTCCCATCACAACCCCACCTTTTCAATTTTCCTTCCTTTTTTCCATTTTTCAAATGTGGTCTAATCTATTAGATTCTCAGCGACAAATGAAATGGCCACGGAGAGCTTTAGCGAAGATATACTTCAATTTAACTTATTACATTTACTAGATTTCGTGGTCCGCTTGACCAATTAATTAATTAAGGTTTTTAGTTGAGATAAAAAAGTCAATGGACGAGCGGGATTCGAACCCGCGACCTTCGGCTACTTGAGCTATCGTGACTAGTGGTAGAGTAGCGACATATCTAACCAAAGAATCATGGGTTCGAATCCCGCTCGTAACACTGACTTTTTTTATCTCAACTAAAAACCTTAATTAATTTATTCCGTACAGTTATTCATATCTTCTAAAATGTGAATCTTACTCTAAAGATAACATCAGTAGAAACAGTATTCAAAACCAAGTGAAAAAATTTAATTATAAATTTTATTAAAATGCCTATCTAATTATCTATATACAGGGTGACCCGTGAACATATGTTAATATTTCCCGAGGTGATCCAACTTGACAAATTGGACTTGAAAAGTCGGATTATCAATATTGTATTCCGAAATATTTCAAGTTTCGTATTACATCAACATTCTAAAACTTTTTTCCCATTATCCCCGAATCTCATAAAACGTTAATCCTACTGTAAATTAAATTACATCAATTTTTTTATCATAACATTAACGAAACATAATATAAAGCCTCTTACAAGTTAAACTTTTACGAGTTTTCCAAGTTCGTGGCCCCAGTTTATCCTCTAAGTGATTTTGTGTTTTGTGTTGTTTAAGGTAACAATAGAAAATATATGAATCTTGTAGGGTTTTCAATTCTGTTCCCAATCGTGTGAAGAAATTTATAATATAATTAAAAAATTTATGATACATCGGACGGTTACAATAAAACCAAAGAATCCCATTTCAATGCCCTTTCGATTCGGTTTCCCCGGGGAAATAAAATTTAGATAGAATAAACCTTTTATGAGATACGAGGGACTTTACGGAATAAAGTTGTGAAAGGTTGAAGCCTGAAAAATGGAATAACTCGAATAAAATTGAGAATCACACTTTGAACAATAGGGTCTTTTTAGTCCAATTTAACGTTTAGGTTAGACACTTAATAAAGTATTGACTTCTATTCGTGGGACACCCTGTATATAACTTTGATAAATATGTAAATTATATATTATTTATTTAGAAATCGTGAGATGCGGTCTGGTGTGATGTAGGTTTCAGGAAAACATTTTCTTTATCGTGCCAACGTTTCGATCTTTATTGAGATCATCTTCAGGGCCTGGGATTTACAAACATTGTTTGCATATAACAATTTTTCCACATCCAAAATATAATTGTTATATGTAAACAATGTTTGTAAATCCCAGGCCCTGAAGATGATCTCAATAAAGACCGAAACGTTGGCACGATAAAGAAAATGTTATTCTGAAACCTACATCACACCAGACCGCATCTCACTATTTCTGAACAATAACTTTATTTATTTTTAAGTTAATGCCTTGGCCAGAACGACAACCCATTTGTTTTTATCCATCGGATTGAGTTTAATACATTCGTTTATTAAATAGGCAAAAAACTCGAGCTGTATGTATAAAACAACCTGCCAATTTCAATTTGGCAAAACCTTTTAAAGACGACTGAAGTTTATTTTAAAAAATAAATAAATAGAATAAAGGTAAAGCGATATCTCCGTTATAATTTTCAAACCACCAAACAATTGAAAAAACACCAACGACAAAGAAACTTAGAAAAAAATTTAGATTTAAAATATAATAATGCATCTAAACATTTCTATTTACAAGTAAATCTAATTTTTTATTCAATTTAATTGTTTTATTGGTTAAAACCAACTGAATAGCTCAGTTTTTCGTTCTATGAGGTCGATGTTGCAAAACAGAGATTTTCAAATGTGGTCCTGACACTGAGTTCAGTTTCATTATGGTAACCTGAATTCACTTCCCAACAAGAAAAACGTCAAAATCGCTTTGGTATTTGCCTTGAGCCTTTATTTCGGCCATGGAGGTGCTTAGTGCTTAGTACTTACTTGGGAGAATTTTGTGAACTTAGTTCTATTTAATCTCACCGTGGAAAACTTCTTTAAAACATTATGGCCTGTTGGAGATTATTCTCTTTAGAACATGTCTACAAAACCACAAAAGGAGGACGGCTGTTTAGAATTGAACATTTTGCGATTTCTAACTCTTCATTAAATTCTGTTAAAAAAAATTGGAAATATCTATAGAAAAATGAACAAAAAAAAGCATTTTGGTTAAAAGGTATGAC